AAATCACAGTTATGCACAATAGATAAAGCATTCAGTACCTAAGAGTGGCAATGTCCGCTCAGGAATTATGAGATGTATTGAGGAACTTTTACAAGAAGTGATACCCTTAAAGTTCCTGATGGCTTCTTAGTCACATTACTGAAGTGTGGAAGGGAAGCCATGGCTGATGATGTTTCTCATGAAATATTTTAAGAGTATGACTCAGTACACAGTGATATCATTATGGCTCAACAAGAACATCAAGGAATATAGTATGAACATAGTAAAATGTATCATGTATCTGCTACACTAACAAATAACTATGATTCATTCTCTTCCCTTGCTATCTTACTGTATCACTGACCCTGCCTCATCAGCCTGTGAACCACGGTGATTTCAGCCAAAGCAGAAATGGCAGATGCTGATCAATCTCTCCCTATCCACTTTCCTCTTCAATGGCCAAGTAGAGGTTATTTGATTCCCATTCCTGTATCTTCCTATTCTAACAAGATGCTGGGACATATATGGGCACTGGCGGGACATGGGTCCAAGGAACTCTTTAAACTGCTCTGGGTGTGGTGGTGCACATGCTACTTTAAGTGTTTCTTGCCTGTGTGACCAAATGCTCGAGGAGGATGGGGTATGGTAAAGCTCATGGTTGGAAGGTTGGTAAAAGGAGACAAAATTAAAATTGGAAACATAGGAAATTTTTAATCCTTTAATCAAGCCAAATCCAGGTTTGTCTGGGAGAACACAACGTTCATGTCACTGAAGGTGATGAGCAATTTATTGATGCAGCCACGATTATCCCTCATCCCAAATATGATGAAAACACCATCGATAATGACATTATGCTGATTAAACTGAAGTCACCTGCTACCATCAATGCTCGAGTGGGCACTATCGCTCTGCCAACATCCTGTCCTTCAACTGGTGCTCAGTGCCTCGTGTCTGGCTGGGGCAACACCCTAAGCCTTGGTGGTAAGTTTCTCCTGCAATAGAAAGACCAAGTCTGAAAGTGTTAGAGGTAAAAGGCGCCTTAAGGGTTAGTCCAACCTCTCACCCAAGGCAAAGCTCTCAGAATTTGGCTTTAGATATAAGTGGTCTTAGAACACACTCACTGAGGTGAGGAAGCTTCTTTTCTGCATACAATGTAGAACTGCTAACACAGATGTCAGTGTATTTAACTGAACTGGGATTAGTAGTGTTGAAAAGGCTAGAAACAGAAGAGGCAGATGGAACCACGATAAAGGGACTCAGTGCTAACTGATGAGCACATTTGCTTGAGAAGAAGTCTCTAGACTTGATCCCAGTGTCCACTGATTCTAGTGTCAGAGGAATAATGACTTGGTAGTCAGAACTGTTTGATGAAGCATTTAGGGAAAAGAGCACTCTTCAATCATAAGTCATTGGTAAAGGGAAAGAAAGAGTAGGAGTCATATGATATAGAGGACAGAATGAAATTTCTGATGATGCTCTGTGTCATCCTCTTCCACTCTCACTGTTGTACTCAACAGTCAAGTTCCCTTCGCTCCTTCAGTGTCTGGATGTCCCTGTCCTCTCTGACACTGTTTGCCACAAAGCATACCCGGGTCAGATCACTAGCAACATGTTCTGCACAGGCTTCATGGAGGGTGGAAAAGACTCTTGCCAGGTGAGATTCTTTGTACTTCTTCATGGTCCTCCTTAGTCTCATCCTCTACCCATTGTATTTTTCCTTTTCTGAAGACTGTACAACTGCCCTTGGTATAAATGATAAAAAGAGAGACAGCTTTGGTATAAATTATAAATTCTTTGTGAGGTTTATGATTAAATTGTGAAAAAGGATACACAGAAGATAATGTTAAACACGAATCCAATCAATAGTCTGAGGCACCATATTGTGGAAGGGTACCCTAGTGAAAGGTGCAGAGCTTTTGTGATGGCATTAAATCTCTCCAGTCTTCTTCATCTTATATAGGCCTACCAAGGAATGGGGAGGGCCATAAGAAAGGAAGAATAAGGATGTAGTAAATAGATCAAGGTTCAATTTCCAGGACCATAGAGGTTGCTTCACGGAGGAACTACACCCTGTAAAAACAGTCCCGTTTAGGGGAGGCACATCTTGGGTCTCATTTTCACAAATGGATATAAATCATCATTACTTGGAAGGCTGAGGCAGGAGGATCGCCATGAGTTTGAGCCTGTCTGGGCTACATAATGAGTTCAAGGCAAGCCTGAACTACATAGCAAGACCTAGTTTCCAAAATAAACCAAACAAACAAAAAAGAAAATTCAGAAGTCCAATGAATATAAACAAATGTCCTGTTTTTCTTTTTGTTCTTATTCAGAGAGATTCTGGTGGCCCTGTGGTCTGCAATGGACAGCTCCAGGGAATTGTTTCTTGGGGCCATGGTTGTGCTGTCAAAGGCAAACCTGGTGTCTATGCCAAGGTGTGCAACTACCTGGACTGGATTCAGGAGACCATTGCTGCCAACTGAACACCTTTACTTCTCTTGTTCCACCATTCATAGTCAGTCTCACCTTCCTTCTGTGCCTGAAATTACAATATTAAAAAGAAATTTTGTTCTGCATTACATCTTTTCCACAATGGGTCCTTGATTGTTATTCATAAACTTTCAAAACACAAGAAGATAGAAATGTGTAGTATTTTATTGGGAAATTTGAAAGGTTAACTCATCATTCGTCCCATCAAATGAATAGAAACTTAATTGTCACTTCTTACATACCAAACTGTGCAAGACAGTGAGGCTAGAGGGCAAGTCAGTCACATTTCCCATCATGTTTCTTTTATAAAACAGGTATGTATGATTTGACTATTTTTCACACGTGGTCATGTATTTTTGGTGGTCTATAATGTGTTCATCACCTATGACAGATCATGTCACTAAAACGCAGAGTCAAAATCACTTGCCCAAAGTCAGTCACACAGTTCATAATAAAACTGCAATGATGCCCAACTTGTTTCTACAGTGTGCCTCTGCTTCTGTGAACAGATGCTCTCTCTTTGTTTGTTTTTGTAATCAATCTGAAACTCCAGAGGCCCAGTGATGGAAAATTCTAGATGGATGCTTTTTCCAAAATCCACAGGATTCCTGCATTTTCCAAGGTTTCACCTACCTATATGTTCCAGTTCTCTAAGACTTTCTTGTTTTCTAAACAAATACGATTGAGTTAGCAGGCACGGACTGTGGAGAGGGTCAGCACCTCCTCCCGTCATCCGTCCCCCACATCTCACCCCGGATGATGGAACAAATATCAGGAATAAGAAGAGTAAAAATGCAAATCAGTTGGAGAAACATAGATCTCCTCTCTTAGATCATTGCGGATTTGGATCTGGAGGTGTTACTGTCTTCTTCATCCCCGCCTTTGCTGTGTACGACACACACTCCACCTTTCTTCCTGGCTTTCTGCCTAGCTTTCCCCTCTCATCCCCATTGGCCCACAGATCATCCAGAATAGGGTTTTCCATAAAAGTCCCCCACATAATTCCTTTGCATACCTGGTATGAGACAGGGAGAAGCCATAATGGAATCTGAGCACAGATCCCCTGGGATAACTGGAACAGCTTTGAGAGAGGAAAATGCAGGCTCAGAATAAAGTGAAAGAAGCGTGCTGTCCTAACTCAGGACGCTCAAATAAAAACACAGTGGACTGTGGGCTTGAATGCCACACACTTATTTCTCACAGTTCTGGAGCCTGATGCATTCAAGGTCACAGCCCCAACAGAACTGATGTCTGGGGAGCTCCTGCTTCCTGATTGGCTGATACACCCACATGCCCGGTATCTTTGTAGCTCCATGTGACCAAGAAAGCCAGCTGCAGTCTCTCCCTATACTTATAGGTAAACTGGACCTAGTGTAGGGGCTCCTCTCTCGGCTTTATCTAACGCCAATGAGCTCCTGCAATTTCCACCCAGGAGGAAAGAGTGACAAGGGGGCACGGAAATGAGGAAGAGTGAAGAAAAAAGGATAAGGAAGGAAAAAAGTCAACACATAAAAGAAAGTCTAAAAGAGGGAACATAATAGAAAATCTTTTAAAGAATAAAGGAAAATAAAACAATACCAATAAAGAAAATGGACTGAAAGAAAAAATAAACAACCAAGATAACACAGAACAAACAAACAAGCAAGAAAACAACAAAAAATAAAAATTACAGTAATAAAAATGCTTTACACAATTGTAGCATTAATCTAGAGCAGTGATGGTGAACCTTTCAGAGACTGCGTGCCCAAATTGCAACCCCAAACCCACTTCTTTATCACGAAGTGCCAACACTGCAATTAAACACCGAGTTGCACAGCTACTCCTTTCTGAGCATGCTCATGGCCCTTATGTGCGCTGTTGTCTGATGCTTAGCTGCTGGGGCAATGCTGGGGCAACTTGGCTCCTATGGTGACAGAGGGGCAGGGCAGGCTCACTTCTGCACATGTGCCATAGGTTTACCACCACTGACCTACACCATCCACACAGCTCCCTCTACACTGGAGCCACAATCTGCTTGTAAGCAGTAAAGTAGTTTGGTTTCCCCATGTGTGCCACTCAATTGCCTACTCAAAGTAGTGAGAGCTACTGCTCCCTCTGGACCTGTCTCTTGCTGCAACCTGTGCTCCAGGGACAGCTAACTGCCGGCTTGCATCAATGTCTCAAGGTCTTATTGTCTTAATTAATTTGGGAGGAAGAAAATGTGGTATGGTTCTCCAGTTCTCCGGTTCTGCAGACTTCCACTAGAGACCACACACTATGTGGTCCCTTCCTTGCCTGCCAAAAGTCTCTGTCTTTCTTTCCTTAGTTTAGGACAAGAAGATCCCTGGCCATGTGCCAGTCTCTTCTTCTCTACCTGTAGCTGTCTATATGTCCCTGTCTCAAAAGCTCTGCTCTCAGAACTGCCCATAGAAACTAGGGGCACCCCTAGGCTTGCCAGAGGGCCCCTTTGCCAGCACCAGGCGATGGGCAGGACCTCATGCTGTCTCAGGCCTTTTTTCTAAATGGCTCCATGGACATATATCTGGGATCAGTGAAAAGAGTCATGTCATTTTCCTGTCTCTACTGAAATATGTGGTGGAAAGTTTTGTAGTTCTAATGTCAGGCAATCATGGGTAAGAACTGTTCCTTCATAGCTTCTTGACCTTATGTGCATTGAGAGAGCTGACACAAGTGATTTCTTTTGAACCTGACAATATTCCCTCCTTGTCCTGGAATACTTTTCTGTGAACATAGCTGATCAACCACCCTGTGATTTTGTTCTGATTTTCCCTAATTGCCAGTATAACTCTGCTCTTGATTTTGGTCTAAGGGGGTCCCGCATCCCAGGGGAAGTGAATGATGACTAGGAATCAGTGTCAAAACCCTTTTAGCCACATTTGAGCAGCAAAAAGATTTAGAAGGAGTGGTTCTCAGGCTCAGCTTATCTAGGTCCATTGTTAAGTTTAATCTTGTCCATTCTGCAAAGCACTGGGCTAGATTATTTTGTTAGAAATTTTATGTCCCAGACTATTAGTATCAACAGGCAAGAGCAAAGCATATTCAGTTTGCCTATCACATCTAAACAAACATAGTTATTTCAATAAGATCAGTGTATCTTTGTATTTGTTCAGGCTGTGCAAAATCTCATAATTTTTGTCAACTCAATCACACATAAAATCTCTTACAAGCTCTATTTCTTTCCAAAATTCTTTTACAACATCTTTTATAACTTATCCAAACCTTTACTTCATTCTGGATTATATTTCATTTCCTATTTGGAATCACAGTCATCTTTTGATAAAAATTTTCTCTTTGAATAGAATTTTAAGTCGTTTTAATCTTAGTCTATTTATAGGAGCCAACTTAACAAGGGATGAGGTAAAAGGCAGATCCTTGTTCCAGGGAAGGCTGGCTGTTGGAAAATTTTGCCTAACATTTTTATATTTGAATCTAATCCCACACCCTCTCTAAGTACCATTATGTTTAGGAGTATAAGAAAACAAACTTCTCCTACATTGTTCCCCAACTCTATTTGAAGATTCATTAATATATCACCTTTGAAACATGAATCAAATGGAAAAAGACTAAGAGAGCTTTTTATTTCCTTTCTTTGTGGAAAAACTGACAATTTCCTTGTCATCACTTTGCCATCATTTAAATCAATAAGGCTCCATTTATTACTTCTCTAAAAATCTGTATTATTTAAAGTCCTACCATTCATTACATTTTACAATGTCTTTCCTAATTATGTCACATGTAATTCAATCATAAAAAGAGCAATGAATATTTCTACTAGTTTCATACTATTAAAATGTAATAATAAAAATTTGCAAGATTTTATTATGAACTCAACCCATCTGTATACATCCCTTGAATCTGCTGTCCTAAAATTATTTTAAAGTATTGAAAAAATGGACTCATATATTAAAATTAAAGACTTTTGTTTTGTGAGCAATCTTGATGAATCAGAGAGTCACACTTCACAATGCCAAACTCATTGGTAGATGTGGGAAGGGTCACTGGGGCAAGGGGAATGGTGTGGAGGAGAATATTTCAGTATTCAGTAGGATGATCTAATGAAAATTTCAGTCTAGAATGCAAAAGGGGAGAAGAAAAGTACAAAACTCTTTTCCTTGTAGGTCAGAATATTTTCAGGTAATTCCTAAATTTCCTTTGTTTTACTTTATAAAAAGAATTATGCCAAACACAAAAACCTTAGTATAAAAACTTTTCAAAAAATATACCTTTACACCACATTTCCTGACAATGTGAGAAAAGAGAGCGTGATCATCTTTTTTCTAGCTAGACTGTAAAAACTTAATGGTGGACTAGAAGCTCCATTATGGATTAATTTAACAAAGAAATTCTAACTTTTCCCTGCCAGTTGCTTTCCCCACTGATGGTGTAGATGACAAGATCATTAGGGGCTACACCTGTCAGAAGAATTCCCTCGCCTACCAGGTGTCCCAGAACGATGGCTCCCACTTCTGTGGTAGCTCCCTCATTACTGATCAGTGGGTGTTCTCCGCAGCTCACTGCTATGAGTCCTAAGTGACCTCTATTCAAATTCTTTACAAGAAGATCAACTTACCTCTAGCCTCACCATAGCATAATCAGAGAAAACTACAGATTTTTCCTTAATGGATATAGTATTCAGATCTTAACAGCCTAATTTTGCCCTCAAGAGCTGCATAATATACTGAGGAAATTTTACATAGAGAGGTACCCTTAGAGTTTGCTGATGTCTCCCTAAATGATGTTACAAAAGATGTGGAGGAGAAATAGTGGCTGATAAAATATGCCTCGAAATAGTTGAGAACAACTAGATAGTCCTAATTACTAGAGCTGAACCAGGAAATGATGGAATGTAGAGGTAATAAAATGGATTGTATTTCCACTACATCATTAAATATAACATAAGACTTTGTGTGATCCCTCAATATTTTCCTGTATCTCTGACTCTGTCACATCTCACCATGAAACTCAGGGATCTCAATCCAGTGGCAGATGCAGATCCATCTCCACCAATCAACTCTTCCTCTCTCACTGCTTTATACAGGT